AACTATGCGACAAGAGCCGTTACAAATTCATCCAAGCTAGTCATTAACTTTCCCGCAGGAACGATGTTGCTACTCTGAGTGAAATTGACGGTTATCTGTTCAGAACATAACATTATACAACACATCATTTGGCAGATGAAAACCTCGACTTTCTCTTGGTTATAGGTAATATATAATGAAATGTAAGAGAGAACTATCAACGAATTGTGAAAGAGAGGATGTGAAAGTGGGTGTGGCAGGAGGGGTCTGATTTTCTAATTGATAGCTCTGTAACCAAACAAAATTGAGGGCTATAAAAATTATGGTTTGTTTGAGCAATAACAATTTTATAGAGAGTATTTTATGTTTAATTTTGTATATTTTCAAGAGGTTATGGATAAAATAGGGATGATGACATGGTAAGACAAAATGTGTCATGTGTGTCACACTGGTGGAAATTCAGGATTTTTTTTTTACATATTTCCTTGTAGAATTAAGAACTTAAAACTTGTATACTATTAAAATATGGATTATTAGCTAAGTTTTTATGCTATTCTAATTGGTATAACAAACAAAAAGCAGTTTAATAAAATTCTGAATGTAAGACACTAAAACCTGTGTCATGCACAGTAAAGGGTACCAGGGGAGACAGGGTTAAGGAGGTCCTTATATTATATTATAGCATTTCAATACGTGAAGTTTGAGTTTTTAATTAGCTAAGCACTGTTGACGTTGTATGGTAGAAGTAATAAAGTGTAAGTTGAACTTATAACGCAGATGTGTTTTGTGACATACAAGAGTGAGTATTGAGAAATTTATTTTGAAATATTTTCTTTCGAATTAAGAAATTAAATCTTATATAATATTAAAATTTTATATATTAACTACTTTTGAAGACAGGTTTATTGCTATACATTGATAATAAAGTAGTTTAATTAAATTTTGAATGTAACTCTATAAAAAGTTGTGACATGCACATTTTGATCCCACTTGTGCACATAGCATTAACATGTAGTCTGTTCATCACTGGCAAAATGACTTAACTGAAATTCAACCATAGTCAGAGTTATGACAGACTTATTACTTTCTTTTAGTTACATCAACATACATAATGAAATATGTATTAACTCCCTCAACATAGGCATTGGTCGAACTGACTGACCATACGACCGCTTTGTACTTGTTATAGTTTCAATACTACTGACTTAATATATAATATAGTATGTGTATCTTCACAAAATTTGGCAGACTTTCAGTAAACATTACATGTCTTTTACATACAAAAATTAGATTTTTCAATGAAGTATTTCTAACAAAGATTTGTTTGTGAATATATCAAGTCTTTTTTTTTACTAGTCCACGTGCAAAGTGATTTTCCTGTTAAGATTAAAAATACTTATCTTCATCCCAAAAATCTCAATTTTCATTTTTGTAATCTCTGAAACCTCCTATATACATTTCAAATGTTTTCATTTTAGTAAAACTTTATATTTTATCAGTAATTTTCTCTACCCTAACTCTATACAAGGTTGGTCAATTTCACAGACCTCATAACCACCAAAAAAAAATCAAATCTAAATTACCCTTTTTTCTTTCTAGAATGACTTTAAATTTTAACATAAAATTACATTTATCTTAAGTAGCTTTAAACTCGAAACAGTATGCATCTATTTATATTTACATTTTATTGTTTTATTGCCCTTTGAACCATGTCTAACAACTATTTGCACCATTATAAGTTGTAAATCACTTAGGGAATGTGCAGCTCATGTTACACTAATGAATTACCTTACCCACAAGCTACTCCAAGCTGCTCACATGCGTGCCTCGTGAAATTTTTTTGATATTATTATTTATTTTGCCTAATTTAACCTTAATTAACCTAAAGAGTTTCCTATTTTACATTTTAATTACTTTTATAATAATAAATAAACAATATATATGAGAAACAAGAAATAATGTATTTACCTGGGCCTTTTTTTTTTGCTGTTGATAATATTTTATTTATTTTTTTTTACTTATGGTAGTGGTGCACTAAATAATTTCTATTTAATTAAATAATGCACCGAATAACATAACATAATGACATGCATAAAGCAGACAAAGTCCCATAACTACCACAATTTTTCTGGCTATCTAACTTTGCGACAAGAGCCATTACAAATTCATCCAAGCTAGGTGATGTGTTTCCCCACGGGAACCAAACTTGTACTGACAGAGAAATTGACAACCCTCTACACAGAAATCAACATAATATAATACCTCTTTTGATAGATGAAAACCTTGGCTTTCTATTGGTTATAAGTAATATAGTATTGAACGTAATTGAGAACTATTGATAACTCCTGAAAGAGAGGATGTAACAGGAAGGTTTTGCTAGAGGGGTCTGATTTTCTATTTGATGGCTCTGTAACCAAACAAGGTTTGTGGCTATGAAAATTATGCTTTGCCTGAGCGATGATAATATTATAATGAGTAATTTACATTAAATTTCGTACTTATGGGAGGGGTTGTGAATAAATTAAAGAAGATGTGATGCCTAGAGAAAAAAATGTCATATTTCTCACGCTATGAGAAATTCAGGACTTTTTAGATATTGCTTTATAAAATTAAGAACAAAAGGATTATCATCTATGATTTTATGCTATTCTAACTGGTATAACATGAACAAAAAGTAGTTTCATTAAATTTTGAATGTAATTCACTAAAAACTTTGTGACATGTGCAGTAAAGGATGCCCATGGAGAGAGAGGGTTAAATCCCTCTCCTGAAGCTAAAACTGAATTTGAATTACTTTTTAAATCTATTAATTCTGAATAAAAGAGTATCCCTATTTATATTACAGTTACACATATAATATCAACACAAGGTATGGACATTTTTTTAAAAAATAACTCAAAACCTTTAATAGATTTTGTAATAAATAATAATCATGAGTGTAAAATTATTTTTCTTATATACTAACCCCAGTCTAGTAGGCATGAGATATGTACTTGCCTGAACTGAAATTTTAATAGCCCAAATGTTTTTCCTTATAAAATAAACTATTACATATTGCAAGTATACACATATCCATTTCAATAAGTTCTTCCACAGTATTACATAACTAAAAATAATACAATTTGTAACAACATTTGTGATGCAGACATAAAATTTATGGGCATGTTAACTCCTCTTCATTTACTACAAATTCAAAACAATCACACAGTGATCAGACATTCGAACCACCTATCCCTTTTCACTACACTTAGGAAAAAAGCCAGGGAGTTATGAGTGGGCAGTCCAGGTCATTTTGTCCAAACACAGCTGTTCTAATTTGTATTTTTGTATATCAGTAAAGCAAGAAGTTTGGAGGCTAGAAATTTACATTCTGGCTTGCCACTATCTATAGAATAAATGTGTAATTGGTGGGATACTCAGAAGATCATATAAGAGTAGAAAAAATCTAAAATGGGCAATTCAGTGTAGATGTGTCATGTGATACACAGAAATGATGACTGATAATTTATTTAAATATTTCCTTTTGAAATTAAGAAATCAAAACTTATATCATATACAAACTTCGAATTATAAGATGCATTTTGTTATCATGTTTATGGAACACATATTGATAACAGTCTTTAATCAAAGTTTGGATATAACTCTGTAAAAATGTCATGACATGCACACTTTAACACTTTTGAATGCACAGGATTAAAATCTGAATATCCTCACAGCAACGTATATTCAAAACAGCTGATTACATAGTGTATGTTCTAGTGGAACTATGAAGAAACATATGTTTCACTTCATAAACAATCAAATACTCATTCAGGTTTACAAAAAACTAAAAACATAAATTTTCTATTTTTAAGTTTTCTTCCATTTTATATATTTATGCATCTATATTACTTTCTGAGATATATAAGACTGTGTGTGTCCTCCCTCACACTTTGTGTATGTTGTGTTATAGAATATTTAATAATATTTTTTTGTAAGGATGTATTGCCATCTGTGTATGTAGTTAAAGCTAACTTACATCAAAGATAATAAAAGTTCAATAACAGCAATAATGAGGAGTGAACAGACAGACACACAGATTTTTGTGCTTTGTATGTATGTATGTATGTATATGTATGTATATATATCTTCACTCTCTATGGAGGAATGCAATGAAAAAAAATGGCCGCTACTATTGCAATAATACACAAGTACAGCTGGAGTTTCTACTCCTACAGCCACCATAAGGTTGGTTTGAAGAGCCGTTTCTTGGGTTATACACCCCTTCCTATTTTGACCCGTGAAATTTCAACCTTGGTCAGTAAGACACTTTTCTTGCCAATGAGCATCAATTAATTAATCACATGAAACACTGTGGAAGGCCATTAAGAGTTGGGTGTTGAAAGCGGGTAACAGAAAGTGCCCCTACCTCCAACACTTTGGCCACTACTTCTTAATACAAAGTCATCCTGACCATCACACAGTGTATATCATGTTTTAAGTACATACATATTGAGTTCTTAAACCTTACACAAAACTATTGGTGGGGTAATAATGAATACTGCAATAATGTGTTATGTTATAAATAAATTGTGCAAAAGTTAGGATTTTTGTGTTATTTATCATAGCATCCACCTCCACATGCTTTTAAGTTCATAACCCGGACAAAGGACGGGTACATCAGTGTGCATGTGTGTGTGCACATATGTAACTAAAAATTTAAATCTTAAAAAACTTCTTACATTTGGATTTTTTTAAAAAAAGTCAAGAACAGTAATGCTAAACAAAGTTCTTACCTGAGATCAAGATTTTTTGTCCTCAAAAAATTGAGTATAATAGAGAAGAGTTTTGGATCTCTGTCAATAAATATCTGAAATATACAAAGAATAGTAAATACAAATTCATACAGCAATTAATTTTTTTTACAATAATGATTTTCCCAAAACATACAAGTCCTACTAAAACAGAACTATGAATGGCATATGTATTAATTTTTGTTATTCTCACAGCAGCTAGTAGAAAGATGTCAATATAAAATAAAAACATTCACTAGTGCTTTTTATAAGAAACTGTGTGTTAGATATGAGTGTGTAAGGATTACTTTCACCATCCTAGGTAAATTGATATATTCTATGGAATTTGAATCTACACTCCCATATCTCCATTATATTGACAATAATTTCACATATTTCACAAAATGTGAACTTAAGCTATATTCAAACTTGGGTGAATTGATTTGAAACACCTGTTGTATGATTTCATTTACTGCATTAAAAAGAAAAAATTACAGGATTAAGTCTCCCAACACAGACTCAGTCAATTTGACCGACCACGACTTCTTTGTACTTATTTACCTCTCTCAATATGGGCTCAGTCAATTTGACCAAACACGTGACCTCTTTGTACTCGTTTAAAGTATTTATAGATTTAATACTTGTAACTTTCAATATAGTGTGTATATCTTCACAAAATGTGGCAGTCTTTCACAAACGAAAAATTTTATTTTTTAGTGAAGTATTTTTGATAAAATAAAATAAAGATTCGTTCATGAGTATACTGAGTATTTGTTTTGAATAGTCCAAACTAGTCGTTAACTTTCTCACAGGAACAATGTTGGTACTCTGAGTGAAATTGAAATTTAACCATTCAGAACATAATGTTATACAATACGTCATGTGATAGATGGAAACCTTGATTTTCTATTGGTTATAGGCAATATATAATTAAACATAAAAGAGAACTATTAACGAATTCTGAAAGAGGAGATTTGACAAGTAGACATGGCACAAGGGATCTGATTTTCTCTTCAGTAGCTCTGTAACCAAACAAAAATTGAAGGCTAAAAAATTACAATTTGTCTAAGCAATGCGATTTTATATCGAGTAATTTATGTTTAATTTCGTACTTTTTCAAGGGGTGGTGGATAAAATATGGAAGATGGCATGCTAAGAGAAAATGTGTCACATGGGTCACACTAGGGGACATTCACGATTTTTTTTAAATATTGCCTTTTAGAATTAAGAACTTAAATATACTTATAAAATATGGATTATTAGCTAAGATTTTATGCTATTCTAATTGGCATAACATAAACAAAAAGTAGTTTAATAAAATTTTGAATGTAAGACACTAAAACCTTGCGTCATGTGCAGTAAAGGATACCCGTGGCAATATGGTTAAAGTCTTTATAGTTTTGATACTACTAACTTTTAATATAGTATGTATATCTTCACAAAATTTGGCAGACTTTCAGTAAACATTATAAGTCTTTCACATACAAAAAATAATATTTTTTGTGAAGTATTTTCAATAAAATAAACATTTGTCCATGAATATATAGAGTATTTGTTTTGGCTAATCCGTGTGCAAAGTAATTAAAAATACTTTTCTTCTTCTCAAAAACTCAAATTTCATTTGTGTAATTTTTAAAATCTCCTAAGTACATTTCAAATGTTTGTTTTCAGTAAAACATAATATTTTATCTATTATTTTCTCTACCCGAACTCTATACAAGGTTGGTCATTTTGAACGACCTCGTAACCACCAAAAAATAAAAAATATATCTAAATTATCCTTTTTTTCTTTCTAGAATGACTAAAATTATAATATGAAACTACAGTTGTTTATCCTAAGTAGCTTAAAACTCATAATAGTGTACATCTATTTATAATTAAATTTTATTGTTTTATTGCCCTTTGAACCATGTCTAACTATTATTTGTGCCATTATAAGTTGTAACTCACTTGGGGAACATGGAACTCACCTTATGTTATCAAATTACATTACCCACAAGCTGCTCGCCTCAAGAAACATTTTTATTATGTTATTATTTAACCTTAACTAACTTAAAGAATCTCCTATTTTACATTTTAGTTAATTTCATAATAATAAATAAATAAACAATACACATAAGAAACAAAAAATAAAGTATTTATATGGGCCTTCTTTTCTTTTGCTGTTGATGACACTTAACCCTACTTTTTTCTATTAATGGTAGTAATGCATTAAATAATTTTTATTTAATTAAATAATGCACCAAAGAACATATAATAATAACATACAAAAAGCAGACAATTTCCCATAACTACCACAATTTTTCTGACTTTCTAACTATGCGATAAGAGCCATTACAAATTCATCCAAGCTAGTTGTTATCTTATCCGTGGGAACAAAGTTTGTACTAACAGAGAAACTGACAATTCTCTGTTCAGAAAACAAAGTAATATAATATGTCATTTGATAGATGAAAACCTTGGCTTTCTATTGGTTATACATAATATAGAATTAAACATAAGAGAGAACTTTTAACAAATCCTGAAAGAGAGTATGTGACAGGAGGGTGTGACAAGAGGGGTCTGATTTTCTATTTCATGGCTCTGTAACCAAATAAAATTGAAGGTTAAAATAATTATGGCTGTATGAGCAATGATGATTTTATAAAGAGTATTTTATGTTAAATTTTGTACTTATTGGAGAGGTAGTGAATAAAATAGAGAACAGGGGATGCCTAGAGAAAATATGTCACATTTCTCACACTAGGGGAAATTCAGGATTTTTTAAAATATTGCCTTGTAAGATTAAGAACTTAAAACTTATATACTATTAACATATGGATTATTAGCTTTGATTGTATGTTATACTAATTGGTATAACATAAACAAAAAGTACTTTCATAAAATTTTGAATGTAAGTCACTAAAACCTTATGACATGAGCAGTAAATGATGCCCAGGAGGAGAGGGTTAAATAACTTAAAACTTCAGAACTTTCTACAGGTTATATCTTTCTGAAAATAACATCTGATTTCTATATGTGAAATTTGTATAAACTTGCAGCTTCCTGATGTTTGTTTTAAGAAACAAAAATACTCAGTTTTATTGTAGGTTTTAATTATGAATTTTTGTCTTCCAGCATTCTTGTAAAGTTTTTATTTTATAAAACAGCAAACTTTGTTTGTTTTGATTAAAAAACACCACAGACAGTTTCACTGAGCTTATGATCACAATAGCTTCCAACAAAAATAACTTTACATGCCAAAATTATAGGCAAACTGACTTTTTCTAAAATTGTTAATCAGAAGGTTTCATTTAATACATGTACTAAGTTTTAAGCCCATTTTTACATTCTTTTATATATATATATATTATTTTTAAATTTATTTTTAGTGATTTTCTTTGGCCATCCAAGAAGGCCTAATGGAAACATGGTTTAATACAGCAGTACCATCGGCAAAACAAAACTTGACACATGAGGTGCAAAATGATTTAACTAAGCTTACCTTATCTCGTTCCAAGAAAAACATTTTGTTCCTATCATACAGCTGCATCATAATTCAAATGATGTACAAAATGCTAGAGCAAGCTTAAAAACAAGTCCAGACAGTAACTGTGGTGGAAGTTATTCTCAAAATTAATTTCTTCTAGCAACATAAGATAGCTAAGCTTTTATCACATTTTTCCTATCTCCATGCAAATCTTTGCTGAATTGGAAACCACATCAATTTATACAGTTGAAAAGAACAACAACAACAAAAATGAGCTTTCATTACATGTTTAGATCAATAGCCTTCTTAAAGCTCAGATATATGCATGAAAACAATGTTTGAGAACCAATGATTTGATAAAATCAATAAAAACTACACCTTTATTAAAGTTACAAGATAAGATTAGCATTTTTTGTTCAGAACTATTTTGACTTTCCTCCTGGGGAGGGGACTATGAGTGTCATATTATGCTCAGGAAAAATTTTGAAAATTTACAGTGAATAATGTTTTTGTTTGTAGCATGCTAAAATCAACCCAATAATATCAAAATGTGATTTTTTAATGAGTAGAAGAATGACTAAGCTTATCTTCTATAACTTTTAAATTCAATAATGCAATTTTGCCTTTGAAGTAGGACGCATCCACCTGGGCATGGTAGAGTTAATATAAATTAAATAGTTTTAGTACATACTATTACAGATGACTACCCATTATAGAAAATATTATGGGCAGCATATCATATATTGTACTAGTGCTCAGCAATATTCAGACCTGCAAAATTCAGTTAAATATTACACACTTTGTAAAAATCATTTCATTTAGTCTCATTTTAAAAAAATAGTTTATAAAGAAGATATAATTCTTGAAACTGTCAAGTACTACATGAAATATTAGTTTTATACCAACAGATCAAATTTTCAGAAGATTTAAATAATTACAAATACTAGTATAATTAAACCATAAGCAAAAAAAGTAATTGTTATCAAGTAAAGTGAATGTGGTAATCTACTTTAAAGAGATAAAACAGTTAATTTATTCTTCTAAAGAATGAAACTTTACTTACTGCCCCAGTTTCATCTCTGAGAGTTGAAATTCTACCACTCAGCATACTATAGTAAAATGTTATTAATAAATATGAGTTACTTAACATATCTGTTACAGAAAATTAAAAAACAACACAAACAGATCCTTATGTTAAACAATTTTAATATAGAATACAGCAACCAAAGTACTGATACTTCAGTAAAATAATTTCAATAAAACTTTTGGTAAACCTTTCACATTTATGTACAACCAAAATTTGATACCTCCATATATGATAAAAAGATATTATCCATTTTGCCATTTCCAAAATTCATAAATTACTATTCACTTTTCATCAGCCTGTCAATACATACTACATACATTTTACACCAAACACAACCATTTCTTGCCTAACAATAATTCTACATAGTTGTATATTACACCACTATATTTGCTAGCTACTATTCAAATCAGTCTGTAAACAAAACAGGACTTTTTTCCAAAAATATCTTTGACTGATAAAACTGAGCTCTATACTTTTGTTCCTTCAGCATTTCTCAAAACTCAAAATGACATTTTATCAACCTTGTAAACAAATCCAAGCAATAAATTTAATTTTTTTTATTTTTAAGAAACTAAAATAGTCTAAAATTATTTGTGATAATCAATGTTCATTTTGTCTATAAGAATGTTGACAAAAACATTTGTTGATGAGCTGATTTTAATCAAAGATGATGATCAGAAGAAAAGAATCACTAGGCAGTACTAAGACATGCTTGGCATGATAAAAACAGATAAAAGGTATTTCACTATCTTGACAAAGACAATGTTGAACAGAAATTAGCTAAGCTCCTTGGGAAACTGATGATTGACACAAAACTATCCTGAGGATTTTTTTTTTTTAATTAAAATAAAAGACATTCTTATCTGTATTAATACACCTAAAGCTAGATTATTAAAATCCAGTAGTTCAAAAATAAAATATTGTCAATGAGGAATGATTACAATGCTAAGAATTCTTATATCTTCATTTAAATACTTCTGAACAAAAAACTGAAAGTGTGTTGCTCGTGCATGTAAAAGAATACTTAATGAATAGAATTCTATTTCCTATCACTAATTAGCTTCATTAGCCCTTACTACTGGCTAACAATCAATCTGTTTAGGTTTGCATTCATAATGTTTCTTAATATTTAATTTCTCGGAATCTTAAGATAAACCAAGTTAAAATTCTCTATAAATGGGACTAACACTTGATTAATCTTTTTTTTTTGCAAATAACAATTTAGCTAACTAATTGACCCAGGACTTTGAAGAAAGCATTTTGGTTTATGTTAAAATTCTTTATACATTCTTCATTGTTATCATAAATGAACTTACACTGTCAGATGATAGTATTTTTTGCTTTATTATTATTATTTTTATTCCTGTTAAGGGTATGTGTTACCTCAGTTCGGCAGAATAACCAGAACTACAAACTGTGAAAGATGTAACACTCTTAAATAAAGCAAACTCTTAGTAGTTACTGAGCAAGCTGTAGGATGATAGAAAAAGGAAATGTAACTGCAGTAAAACTTCATTTTATGATTTAATTATTTATATGGTACTTTGTTTTTGGTGGAATGCCACAAATGTTCAAACTCATCCTTTATATACTAAACAGAAAATTAAGACATGATAAAACTGTTTGATAATTTTGTTCAATAAAATGTCTAACCATTTTAATTGATTAAACTAAGACAATTTCTAGGTTCAAACCCCTAAGTAAAACTAGACTCAAATTCCTAAAGCTTCTTGTCAATTTGACTAAGACTATTATTAAAAGTAAAATGCAGACTAAATTAATACTGATCATAACAAATATTTCACAAATTATTCCAACAAATGAATACTATTAAAAATTTTAGATCCAAGAGTATCTTTCCTTGCAGTTTGGCCAACAAAGATAATAGTAAGCTTTTTTTTAACTATAGTTTTTCACTCACACAGAAATGACTTATTATGTTCCAAAAATAATTTAAGTAACACTACCATTCACTGGATTACACGAGCTTAATATCAAGAAAAATAAAGTTTTAAATTTTTAAAACATTTGTTTTATATTTTTCTTTCAAAATAAAAATTCTTAAAATAGATTTTGATCATTATAATTTAATTCATACACAAGTACATATATTATTTAAGGCTTTACAACAAATAAAGAACCAAAACAATTTGCAATACACATATATTGTTAATTTTTTTACATTGTATGCCTTTTTTTTTAATAAATCTATAAAAAATCTGAATTTTATACAATCTCACTATTCAAGCTAAGTACTACATTAGTAACAAAATAATTTAAAATAAATCTGAAATGGTAACAGCATCTTGAAGATGTAATGTACTAGGAAAAAAGCACATTTTACCTGCTGAAAAATGAGTCCGGCACCCATGTCAAGGTTTGTTTTGAAGTAGCATATCTTGGGGGAAAAAGTGAAGTTTCTGTTACTGATTAACATATCTACAAAAATACTCTACTAAGAGTGTAGTTTTAGAGCAAAGCATATATGAAACAAGTCACATTATCACACAATTCTCTGTTTATATATTTCAAGTTACAAGCATGAAATACAATATTCATAAAAGTTCAGATTATACTGAAGTAAACTATGAAGAACAGATTGCTGATATTAAAAATAACAACCTCTTTAATAATGCACCAGATAAAGTTTAAAACACAAAATATTAAAATGATATTATTAAAATCAATGATTAAAACGTACTAATATCCTCCTCATCACTGATATTTCAAAGATTAGTGATATCTTTAAAATGGGTTTGTAACAACATACAAAGTTGTAATCTTTAATATTTAGATATTAGAATGAAAACAAGTTCAACAAGGATATTTTACTAAACAACAAAGAACACTAAGATATTTACAATTAACATTTTCACTGCCATGGAGTGTGACATTTTATACCACCACGAAGAAAGGGTATTTCCCTTCAAATTTCCCAAAGTCTTCGAGTTTCAAACAAGTAATGAAATATTAAAACGTTTTTTTTTATATTGTGAATCTACAAATACATCTGGCACTAGGAGAGTTCTTTATCTGTAACCACGAAAGTGAAAGAGTTAGTAACAAATACAATAATCAGATTTAAATACCCCAATTTAATTTTTCCCCAATGGCCTTCATTCATCATTTCAAAAACACTTGTTATAAAATTTTCTTAGTAGGTGTTGAAAATGTTTTGATCTAAAACATAAATAAGTTGTATTTGTGTTTGAATTCTAAGGCATATAGTGAAATTTCTGCAAACCTATAACAAATTAATTTTGAAACAGTATTATATTACTAAATCAACTGGGGAAATGGGAGGTATGGTGTTTCAAGTGTGAGTTGTGTATATGATGTACTCAAAGTTCAATTTTAACTTAAAAGTACATCTAAGGTACAAGATTTTCAGATCCCACCTCTCTCTATATATATATATATATATATATGCTAATGTTAATCTTGAGTCAAACAAATGAAAAAGACACACAATTACACAAAAACAGTAAAAGTATCAAACTATATGAGAAATTTATGAACATAATCTTCTACTGAACTCCTGGGTTATAAACACATTTTTCTAGTGCTTAAGTATTTGAAAAAGACAACTGCATGGTCAATCAAATAGCAAAAACTAACAGTTGTAGTAGTAAGAACAAATATTTGATCAATGTACCTTCAAACTAATTTCACAAAACTTTTAATTAGTATCACAAAGAAAGTGCCATAATGAAATCTTTAAGTCCAAGAGATGATATATATAACATAAAAATATAAAAAACTATAATATATAGCTAAATGTTAAATACATCTATGTCAGGAAACTTTTAGAAACTCCACAACAGAAAAAACAAAACAACTCATAACTTCAGGGATATCATTAACCACCTCCCCCAAAAAAAGCTCTAGAAAGGAACTATATAACCTCTCACACAATCTGGATTGAAAAAAATGCACGGATGAGTAACTTGAACCAATTTATTCATTAGTATCTACCTCAATTTTGCTGGATATACTGTACAGCTGGAAAAAGTTCAGCAAGGCTAGATGGCAAAAAAACAAAACAAAAGAACTAATAACAAAGCATGCATTGATCAAAGAAGTACATCTGTATTGAAGGGTAAATTCTGACCTTTGAAGGTTCAGAAAACATAATCAATGGAAGTTTGAACCTTCTATGTTACAAATTTGCAAAAAACAACTGATGACATCATAGCATCTAGCATAACTTCTCATTTATATTTTATCTAAAATCCTTGTACTTCACACTTAATTCATACAGATGACATAAAACATTCACATGTAGTTTAAATGTGTTATATAGAATAATAATCATATTTTTATATTTAATAAAGCATGTTTTTATGTTCACGTATTTGACATTAAGTGTGCTACTCATATAGCTACATAAAGTAAGTTTAAGATGCAATAGCATCCTACTGTGGCCTAGTAAAAGAACTGCAGCTGAATCAAGCAAACAAAATATTTATTTAACAGTCACCCTTCCAAACAGGTTAACAGTCATAGTATTTTTACATAAAAATTGTTTATTAGTTCAACATACCTAATAAAGTTAATAAATAAACTGTAAAAACAGAACAGAGTAACATTAACAGTTTAATTAAAAAATATGACCTTCAAGTATAACAAAAAGTGGTAAGATAGTGTGTTATTGTCAGTCACATTTTTTTTTATTAACAACATTGTTGATTAATTAAACAAACACACCTTGGGGAGGAGGAAATGTAGAGTTACACTGGTGCTCCTTTTTTCAATATTAAAATTATTAGATTTTGCATATATTTTATGTTTCCTATTTTTTCTACCATAACACTTCTTTTATGTCTTTGTAAGCTAGACATTAGTAAATGCAACCACTAAACTTACCCCTGTGCTCCACCATAATGACCTGCTGGAATGCATAGAAGGAGCTGCTACATATAACATTTTAGTGGTGTCTGTACTTCTTTTTTTTTTGTTTTTAATGCAACAACTTTTAAGTAATGGGAATTATACAAGTAAAATATCAAATTTTCCATGTGAGTGATATTTAATGTGTAATTACTATTGATACATTGTCAAACAGTTTCTGTTAAAATTAATAACAAACTGACACTGCTTTAATGCCACCTGATGAACCTTCAAATGTTTAGAACTATCTTCAAATTCCTCACTAGCAAATTAACATTCAAACATAACCCTACAAAGAAGCAACTAAATCTGTTAAAAAAACAACTCATCACCTAATGTAAAAATAGAATGAAGTATTCCAAATACATTAAGAGTCAAAGTTATTAAATACATTTTTAAGATATATCTTTATACTCAATATATATTTAATGAAAAATGAAATGATCAGAAACTCAATATACAAGAAAGCCTGCACTTAAAAAGGAAGTATATTTTATTTTTTAATATTCCCAACATAACATTGTTACAAAGGAACCTAAAAAGAAGAATGTTGTCATTTTCAGCAACAAAATGTATGCTGATAACTATGGAAATATGTACCTCTACTATTCAGTGTTTAATAATAATGTCGGTAGATTTAAAATTTTGGGGGTTAAGCTATGGATTTACTTAACATTTTAATTCAAAAATGCCAACTTAAAGACAAAACAATCAATGGAATTTCTTGTTATCCTGACTTCCAGAAACCTTTATGTCAAACATTTGAGAATAACAGACGATTACAACTAAAACAGTAACAACCCTATACTTTTAAGACAAAGCAGGGACACCAAAGTCTGTCCTTTAGTTTATGGAGAGAAAGCTTCTGTGTGTATGAAAAACTTTTGTGTAATGAAGCACAAATGTTCAGAAAAAATTCTCATGAGAGAAAAAACACCACCTTTTGAAGCTTTCAAATGCTTTAAATTATTAAAAATCAAATACAAATAACTTGAAATGCTGAAGCTCACAGAGAAGTTCTAGAAGAACATTCAGATCCAGTTTCAAGACTACCTTCGTTCTTTAGGTTTTTTTATACCTTATGTTCAAATTGCCTTTAAAGTTGTTTAAAGCGAATATACACACTCTTTGACAAATTTTTAATTTGTGAAAAGCAATTAACCCTCATAGAAATTGATATTTAATAGGCAGTTTTAAAATTGTTTACAGTAGTTTTTCTTAGCAAGATAAACTATCATATCTTAGCAATCATGCAAGAAGAACTACCCATCACCAAATTCTCACAAATATAACTATATATGTTCACAAAAGCATGACCATTTGCCTTAATTTGACATGCACAACATCTGTTTTAAACTTGTGCTGTTGACAGAAAAATAACACATGAAATCTTTACTTTTGAAATGAAAAACCGTAATAGCTTTATAAACCAATTTTGTCCAAGTATACAACAATTACACAACTGGCAAATATATATGAACTATACATGTAAATTGACTTTGTAATGCATCAATAGTAAATGATAACTAATACTGTAGATTTGCTTTTCACAAGTCACTATATATTCTAATTTACATTTTATGCCTACGACTCATTCAATATGTAATAAAAGTATGTTTAATTAGCTATACTAATTACCAGGCTTATTTTTAGTCTTTGTGTAAGTACTATCTTGCTCTGATCAGAAGTTAACATTAATAAAGAAATCCACTTATACTACTTACAGTGTAAGCTTCATTTTTAAAAACATTTAAAGAAGAAACATATTTAACTCTTTAAAGCAGAACTTCACTGTAATTTAATATTATATTATAAAACAGTGCATTCTTACCTAACACCACCAACATTTAAATGAACTATATCACCAGGAACCAAAGGCTGGGAAGACATTCTTTTTAAAACCAATATGCAGGAAACTCTGAAATATCAACACATACATATAAAAAATTATACCATAAGACATAAAACACCATTATTATCATTCTTCCTTCAACAACTTAAGAGTTTACTAGTCTATCATGATGATTATTAATACCTCAAACTTAATATTTATATCTTCACTTAAAACTGGTATAACAAATATGAGATTTAGCATATAACATTCCTTTATTATTTACTTTACACATAGTGTTTGTGTGTGTGTGTGTGTGTGTGTGTGTGTGTGTGTGTGTGTTTAGTTAAGTTTGATATGTAGTCATGTGTTCAATTTAAAAACAAAAGTTTTCTATTGAATGAAATTACATTTTCTGTTCTGAAAAGAAAGTTAAGTGGTGATGTTATTGAAGTTATAAGATTATATGTCGAACTGATAACACAAAAGGATGAGAGGACACAAGTTTAGGAAAAGACAGGCCAGGCTACAGTTGTATTTTTTTGTTAGGGCAACTGATTTATGGAATGAATTACCATTGGTAGTAGTGGAGGTCAACACTTTACAGGAGTTTAATGATTTCCTGAAAAATAAAGGGTGGGTTTAAGTCTTATTTTTCTCAATAATGGTTGTGCAAGAACAGCCTTGAAGGAAGAAATGGGAAAATACAGGATTTTATGACACAGGTATTCAATTCAAATTAGTTAAAAGGCCACCTGAACAGACAAATAATATCAATGAAAAATTGTATAAGGAAAACAGAATTGTTTACAATAAGCAGAGCTCCAAAAATTTATAAAAAAAAAAAACTTCTCCGCCAGCTGAAATTGAAGCAAAATTACCCATTGAAAGAATTCTAATCAGGAAGATATGATATTCTTTATGCACGGCTTGTTAGGATCTGCATCAGATAGCTGTTACTTGTAGCAATAAATGTGCTTAGATTCTTTGGCTCTGAAAAACCATTAATTTTTTCTGGTTTATAATCTTCCAACAGAAAACCATTGATGTTAATCATCAAAATATCAATCAAGGTAGAAGTGATGAACTGTCAGCTGCATGACAACACAGAGAAATATGTATATTGTTTCTGTTGCACTGTTTGGTGTTTGCTTTGTAATATAACAGTAAATCTTATCCATACAAGCTCTCTCACTTCATGTTACTGGAAATAAATGGCATGATTCTTATAAGTTTTTTATGTGCTGTGTTTTATCAAATCATAACCAATAACCTGGTAAGTTTTGTTTAGTCTTGCATCAAGTAGGATTACAAAAAATGAGTGACAAGAGGCAGTTTTTTTTTTTCCATTTTTGATATGTCAATAGAATGTGTCTGAGAATCAGGTCAGGATTTTTTTTTTTTGGCTTTCACACACTTTCTGATTCAAACATTTGGGATTCCACTCCCCCATGGCCTTTCTTTATGTTTGTGAAACTGCTGCTTTTTTCTTGCAGTTGCAAAAAAAACATTAATTAGCTCATTAAAATACAGTTTCTATGATTTGAAAACTCTAAAAATGTTTCTGGAGTTCACTCACACATAACAACATAGGACACCCATCATGATTATGGTATTCAAATGCATCTTCATCCTTAATTTCTGACATGGGATACAAGGAGTCTCTTGTCACTGTGAGCAACTATTCCTGCTCTGCTGAAGAATGGAGAATTGTAGAGTGATAATAATAGCCCTGGTAACTAGACTAGTCAGTCTTACTAGCTGAGCATCATTCAGAATGTGCCCAAAGGAAGTCCATGGGGTGCAAAATCTGATGGGGTACCAATCATGCAAGACTACATCTCATCTTGTCCAGGGTATATTTTTCACCTGTAAAGGAAAGAGGCAAAGAAGCCACATGTCACAGAGATGGGTGGAATGTGAATGTGACTATCTGAGTACTTACACATAAGAGGTCAGATAGACAACAGTGTGGTTTGCGCACGTTCAGACTGTACTTTATGTGCTCACCTCAATTCTACTGTCAGATTCAACAAGAACGACTCCAACTGCAAGAGAAGGGCACAAGAGTTATGTAATATGGATTAGTATGTTCACCTCAATACTACTGTCAGACTCTGCAGGACAAATTCCAGCTGCAGTAGGAGGGCATATTACTTATGCAATATGGATTTGTGTGTATACCTCAACTCTACTATCATATGTTATGGGACAGACTCTAACTGTGGGAGGAGGGCACATTAGTGATACATCATGGTCTTGTATGGTGTGTGTTCACCTCATCCCTAATGTCAGAATCTATGGAATGGACTCCTGATATGAGAGGAGGGCACATAGTTAAGCAGTATGGACCTGTATAGTATGTATTCACCTCAACTCTACTGAACAGACATTAGGCTGCAGGAAGAGGATACATCAGATACATATATATAAATATAATAGTATTGTAAAGTTATTGTTCTCCTCAACTCTACTGAAAAGATTCTAAGGAACAAACTTCATCTGTTGGAGGAAGGCACTGTATTATGTAGTACTGGTCCTTATGTAACGTGAGCTCACCTCAACTCAACTGAACAGACTCTGGCTCAATAAGGAGGGAAAAACTAGCATGAATATTGTATGTGAGGGTTGACCTGCACTACACTAACAGTGTCACCACTTTCCCACTTCTCACTGTATTAGTACTCCTTTGCATGATCCCAGCTGTTGAGTTCAACCGGTTAAGATTTTCTATGGTCCATCATCACAGCAGCTAGGAAGTGGTAAGTGGCAAGGGTCTCTGGTGCTTCTCTCAATGAAAGAGAAAGAATTCACGTTGGAGAGACCCAGAGAAAGTGCCCAGATCCTCCAGCCAGAAAGATCTTTTACTGGAGACATTGTAATGGGTGACTGCAAAACTCTATTTTTAAAAGAAAACAAGCATGAACCAGAGAAGTGGGTAGAACATTCCCAGGTGATGGATTTTTCCATAACAATCCAAGGAATAGCTACGATGTGGATCAGACAAATGAGTAAATATATATACATATATATATATATATATATATATATATATATACACACACACCACAAGAATACCTCAAGTGGTCTTGCAGCACACACCATCTCACAGTGGGCACAGGTAAAGCCAAGGTGGATGGTCTGAGCACTTTTTGTTATCCTGGCTTAATGCAGATTTTGAGTAAGTATACCCTAGAGGGCAACACCAGCCACCTGGTTGGATCCTATGAAATGAAGAAGGGGCTCTAAAAGAGAAATAGTATATCTTCTTCACAAAGATGGTGGGAAATTGAAGAAAAGTGACCTTTGGAAGCCAGCAATCATCAGAAGATAAAACAGCCAGAAAGTGCAGAGGAGGAGGTGAATGTGTGGAAAGTGTCAACATGCCTTCCTATAGGAGCTTCTGCTAGAGCTGGAGAAGAAGAGATGTAAGAGAATGAAAAAGGTGACAAATTGAATATGAAGAAATGTGAAATAGTCTGTGAGCATCCACACACCAAGATGAATATACCAACCAGAAAAGTAGAGCAAGAGTAGAAGGAGAGGGGTCCTTGGAAAAAGAAGGATTCCAAGGGAGGGACAGATTAAGATGGTAAGCCCAAAAGGGAGAGGTCCATAAAACACACTGAACAGCCCAATGGAACACAGGAGCCAATCTGGGTCAAAACGATTCAATAGGTGAGAGGCAGAAGGAGAGAAGAACGGTCAACCTCCTGAGCAGTCAAAGTCTGAGGAAGGAAAGATCTGTATGGGGAACAGAATAAATAAGTGTAGTGGAAGAGGGTACAAGAAGCAACTAAAGGACAGACACTTGAACAACAGTAATTGCAGGTGGGAAGAAGGAAGAAACAAGTCAGAAGAGAAAGATGGTACAAAAGATAGGAAATCAATAGCTGCAATGAGGCAAGCACAAGATTGTGCAAAACCTCACGAAGGTCTCAGACAAGAATGGAAATTGGGTGAGGAGGACAAAGAAACAGAATAGAGTGGAGAGGACAGGGGAATAAGCACCTTTTGGTACAGGGAAAGAATTGTGCAATGCCATGGGCAAGGCCTCCCAACAACTAGTAAAGGCAGAGATCAACAAGCCATTGACAAACAGTCAGGTAAAAAAAGGCAGAAAGGTAATTCATGGTATGATGGCCAGAAGGACAGGAATAGTAGAAGAATCAATGACAAAAGACCTGTAACAGATGTTGATAGACAAAGGCAGTGGAAGAGCAACAAGAAGAATGCTACATAATTGGAAAGTCCAACATGATAGGTGACAGATAGGGCAAATTCCTTCATGAGGATAGAGGGAAGATATCCCACAACGAAAAAGGGATGTGTAAGGATGAAGTGAGAGAGAGACAGAATATTTAGAGGAGAAAGGGAGGGGTCCAAATGTCAAACAGACCAAGGCTAAACTGGTCAAATAGGTGCCAACAACAGGGCCCAAGAAAAAGAGAAGCATGTAAAGTTTAAGACTAGAGGGAGGAAGCAAGTAGGGTAATAGGCATATAGAAAGAGGTGAGACTAGGTCTGGCTGAAAAAATCAACAGAGCCAAAGGATAAGGAATAGGAGACCACAAGAGAGGAAGCAAGTAGATGAAAAGGGTGGCAAATGCATCCAAGAGGGGCAAGTCCAACCAAGAGTAAACCCTATGAAAGACCTCAGGTATAGAGAACTACTCTATTCTTAGAATGTGGACTGGCTGAGAGAGGTTGTCTGCCACCAAAATTTATGCTCCTGGCAAAAGATAGGAAAGAAGATTAACTCAATGTAAATAGGCCCAGAAGTGTATGTCTAACATCCAAAAGCAAAAGGTACTGGTGTAAGAAATGACCGTGGAATAGATTGAGTGGAACATGATCAAATGACTCACCACTAGAGGCAGGAATGGAAACCTGCCCAGCAAATAGCAAGAAGGTTGAGCACATTGATGTGGAGTGAATGTTTATCCAGTGTCCAAACATCAGAAGTCCTGGCCTCATCTAGAAACGTGCATCAATCAGAGAGGGAAGTATTGAGAGAAATAAAAGAAGCTTATTGGATTGCTAATCTAAATACTGTTCAACCTTTCGGAATTAATCTAGATCCTGGAATCAGTGATCTCCATTCATTGGTTTTATCTCTCTCAGAAAAATAATTTTTATTCTTTGGTTATTTTTTCATGTAACGTGAATGCTGAATTTCTTAAAACTTACTATTTATTTAAGATAATTTTCCATACCTGTTTTCATAAATCGATTAGCATAATGTATTTTCAAACAGTCTCCAGGTGTCACCTTATTTTACTTAAAACACTTAAATATAGTTTTAAATATACATATATTTATCCATTTCTATAGTAAAATATCCCTGACATCTTTTCACATACACTCTTGCCATCGGCTACATTGTACCGGAATTGAGATGCTTACAACAGTACATAGAGAAATAAACTAAACATTTCCTGGAAAACTGGATGAGCTTGATGACATCACTAAACTCCCTTTATACCACGATTGACAGACATGTTCCAGTAGTAACCTCCACCCGTTCTACGTCATGTCATGATTTAATTGATACATTGTTCACACCACTTTCATCACAGAGACTATATTGGCACACGTTCTTTCACCCTAGCCACACCCTATGATATGATGCATAGCAAACTGTCATCAGGACAACATATTGTCTGTTTACGCCTGATGATATGATGTAAAGCAAGTTGTTGCCAAGACAAAATATGGTCTGTTTACAATCCCCACTCATCATTTTTTGACATGCTGTTAATTTGAATTGGGCAGACATATCTATGTATTGGTTTATGCATTATGTAATACACACCACAAAGTTAATTGTATGGCTTTGTTTCTACAAGTTCAATGGCCGAAAAGAATTATAAATAGTTTGAAAATTTTGTTTGTGTGTTTTCAAATAGAAAATGATTCTTGATCCAATGAAACCACCCAAACCAAAGCAGAGTATGACGAAAGCTATTGTTTTATGTATCTCTGGTCCTTATTGGTCTAGCCAATTAGAACCAACACCTAGTTTTTGGTTTTAACATTCACTTGCTAATATCTCCAAATGGCAGAAAAAAGGTTTGGCAATCATCATGATTTTTTAAAGCCAATTTACAAGTAGTAAGAGTATTGTTGCCTTGAAATAAATCACACAAACTCAGCGTATATTAGTACCGTAGACATTTTTCATTTGTTGTTTGGTGTACAATAATTAGTATTTATTTTATGGAGGATTTACATATTCTCAACTGTGATTTCCCATTCCCATACTTATGTAGCTTGGAACTATAATTCTTTGAGACTCTCTAATACCAAAACAATAAATCTAAAATAGCATTGTTCCAAGTAGGTTTCCTGAAAAAATGGTGAAAAAACCCATTCTGAACAGTTCCTAAAAACAAGGTTTGATTCTAACACTTCCCAATTAATATACCTGAAATTGAAATCATCTATAATTATGACCTAATTAATAGATAAAATCATAATCTCACTATATAGTTTCACGTTAAGTTCATCAGATTCATATGGTAGCCTGTAAGAACTTCCTACTTAAAGCCTTCTCCCCCCATATTCACTGACAGAAAACAAAATAGTTGCAATCTCATCACCATTATCCTTAATGTCCTCATCTTCATCAGAATGTAACTCATATTTTACATATAATAAAGCCACACTTTCCTCATTCTCTAATACTTAACCTATATTAAATAACCTATAACCCCATATTTCAAACAAGTTTGTCATCAAAACTGTCTACATTTAACCAAATTTCAGTTAATCAATTATATCAAAGCCTCTATTTTGCCCAGTGCCATGAAATCATCTATTTTATTTCTTATACTTCTAGCATTACAATACCAACAATCTAGCTTACCCTTAAAGCTGCTTCTGTACTTTGTTCCTACAGTACACTTTTCTCTACATCTTTTATTTTTCTGCATTTAGTTTATACTGGTCCTTACCTTCTAGTTTAAAGTTGCCCTAACAGCTGAGTTAATAGCCTTTGCAAACAAGCCAGACCATACACTATTGAAGTGTAAACCATCCATTACAAAAAGCTCCTCTTTCCCATTGAACTGAGCCCACAAATACAAACAGCCAATCTGTTCATCTTTATGTATTATAACCTATGCCAAACATTACATTCTAGTAACCTAATTATAAGTTCATTCCACAATTCAGTCTTGGTAGTAACCCTGAAACAAATCAGTGATGGCGCTTTTCTTTAAATGCTTTTATCAACCCTCTGTATTTATCAATTAACTCATATGAGCACAAAAGACTGCATCACTGCTAGCAACCTTTTACTTTATCACTTGCTTTGTCAGTTATATCCTTCACTCCTGCCTCTGGATAACAATCTACTCCTTTTCTCCCTTTTTATCCCACAGAATATCCTATCCATATACCAAACCAAAGAATCACCTGTAACTACAACATCCGTAAGTTTTCCTTCCCATCTTTTTCTTTCCTTCCCTCCCTCATCTGCTCAAGCTAAAGGCTGAAATAGAATCTATTCATTACAATTAAATATACTACTTGCAAGTTCTAGTCCTCATATTACTATTTCTAACTTCCTAAAGTCACTATTAGCTACTGTATCTCTTACATGTAAAAGCTTAAGTTATTCTTGAAATCCTGCTGCCAATTTCCCAATTTACACTTCTCTTTATCTATTGCCTTTATTTAAGATAACCTATATCTTCTCCAGCCCATAAATTCTACAAACAAATTCCACATATTCATTACTAGCCTCCTTAAGTTAAAAGTGCATGTCACACCTTGCCAATCCTGAGTTCCCAAATAAAACCCACTCCTTCCATCCATTGCACCCTACAAACTATGAGCACTTAACTGCTATTAACACCTACATTACTCTTAACCAGTGAAGTGAGGGGATAAATAATCAATACTAAATAAACACATTCTATATGAACAACATTAAGCCTAATATCTGAGAATTAATATATTGTACTATCTAACACTACCCTAGTAACCACCATGGACATCATAGATTTAGTCAAATACCATTGCAGACTCCTGATCAAAATAGGTCAGCCAGCAAATCTCCCACCATTAAGCTATTAACTGCAACCTCCAAGTAACTGAATCATAGAAGCACACTACTAATACTACTACTAGTAGTATACTACCAGCAATAAATTATCTATTACTGCAAAAGTTATTAAAAGTTTCACACTGAACTATATTCAATCATTTCATCATTAAACTTCTTTAACTCAACTCTCGAGTTTCTTTTCTTACTGAATACTCTTTCACTTAAGCCTTAGTCATTGAATTTTTAGGTGAGAAACCAAGTAGTGCTACTACTAATCCTAATATTCCTTTGATCATGGTTTGCTCTTTTTATATTAAAAAACATTTACAATACATGCTATGTAATATACAGTATAACTTAGTTAAAACTTAAATTTAAAAATTAAAGTTGGGGTTAACAGTGCATAATATCACTGAACAGTCAATAACGTCAAAACTTTAAAGTTTAATAGCTATATAAGTGAGAAGTTTAATTTGGATGAGACTAATATGATTTACAGATAATTACTTGTTTAAGTATTCAAGAATCCTACTTCACACACATACTTACGTGTTGATTCTGGACTAAATTTACGTAATGTTTCAGTACAAAAAAACGAAAAATATCCAATTAAAGTTCCGCATAGCTTCCACCAGGCCCAACCATTTTACATAGTTTAGGCCTAATTTCTCTTTCACACAGTTAGTGTCACACTGGATGGGCGGATGGAATAATTAATGCTACACTATAGAGGACGACGCGCACGTGATATTGTTTATGATACATTAAAAATAAAACTGAAATGAAGCAAAGTTATTAATACTCTTACAGTCTGCTTTTCATATAACTTGTAAAATTATCATATTATAAAACTTTTGAACCTCTTTTAGAAGTTTATCACTTACGTGAAATTAACTTTCAAATAATGCTGTATAAACAGCGAATATTTCTAATGTTTGTCCTGTCAAATGACCGTTATTAAACTATCCTTAACAAGAATAAAATATTAATGAATTTTGAATACTAACAAAGGCCTAGGAATTTAAGCATCATAAAGTTGTTTTGGTTTTAATAACGGATTTTTTACAATTCAGTTACGCAGATTTCGAAAGTAATATTCTTTTTTTTATCACGTAAGTAGTTTTTTACAAATCGGGAAGAAAAAACACTAACTTAGAACAAATTATTATTTCGTTTACCATAATGAACATTTTATATTTTTATAACAAAAAATACAAACAAACTAAAGAAAATGGGAGAACACTGATGTCAAACGAATATGCATCTTCATTCGTCATGATCTTTTTGTGTAAAATCTACGTCTTTTAGTCTCTAAACTACTTGCTGTGGTCTTTCTTTTTATGTATTGTGTCTGGAGTATCTCGTTTCAATAACCAGCAGTAATCAGCCATCATGTTGATGTTCCACTTTCCCTTATACCTTCTCTCCATTTCCTTAATGTCTTGATTAAACCTTTCCCCTTGTTCTTTGCTGATGGCACCGAGATTTTCAGGGAAATATTCAATATGTGAGTGTAAGAAATGAGCTTTCAAGCTCATATTACAACCCAACTCTTTGAATTTATCGAGCATGTTATTGACAATATTTTCATAATTTGGGTCCTTATTGTTTCCTAAAAATTTGTCAATAAATTTTTAAAGGCAATCCACGATTCATTTTCAACTTTCCTCATTGTCCTAATCTGAGGCCCAACAAAAATTCCGTCTTTAAGTTTCGCTTCTGAAAGAGCTGGGAATTGCCCACATAGATACTTGAAACAGTCGTCATCTTTGTCTAAGGCCTTTACAAACTGCTTCATCAAGCCCAGTTTTATGTGAAGTGGAGGTAACAGGACTTTCTTTGTGTCAACCAACGTTTTTCGATCCTGGTACCAGGCTGACTCTGCGTGGCCATTGCTTCTTTACCCAGTGCTGATTTCATGCTCTGTTGTTCCATTCACACAAATTCAGAAAAATGTAGAGCATGTAGAAAACGTTAACTACCGTAAGCAGCTGTATTATAACTATGTTACGTCTCCG